GATGCGTTCTTGTCGCAGCCCGGTCCGGACGTGACGGCCAACTACATGCTGCTGGACGACCGCGCGTACTGGTCGATCGAGAAGGACGCGGTGATCACGAGCGCCGGGTGCTTGGACGCGGATCAACTGCCTCCCGTGCAACTGGTTCGTATCTCATTTCTACACTGCGATGATCTTGGAATCTAATTGCTTTGGTAGATGCAAGCCAGTCTCACAGACGCTGTCGTCGTCTCCAGTGTCGACGACCAGAAGATCGAGTGTCTGTCGGGCAAGCTGCTCCAGCTCCAGTTCGCTGGCGAGAAGTTTGTCTTTTGCAACTCCAACACCAACCAGCTCACGAAAGCTGTTGGCGCCGACGTCGACATGACGATCGAGTACCTTGCGGACCCGACGATGCTGCCGGATTTTACGATTCCTCGCGTTCCGGGGCAGTCGGCGCTGTCGTGTCCGGTGGTCACGACGACGGCACCGGCGCCAGCACTGCGCGTCCACGCTCTGGAAGCGGCTGCTGTTGTGACCGGCGCCAGTGTCGGCGAGGCGACGTGCGCGTGCAAGGGCAAGAAGAAGCCGTGCTTGTTTGTGCACGGCGTCGGCAACAAGGACTCTTCGGCACCGACGCCGACGTTTAGCGAAACCTGGGGTGATATCCAGAACAGCGCGCCGTGCTGCTCGAGCGTCGCGTTCGCGCACTACGAGTCGATCAAGCGCGCCTGGACACGTCCGGAAGTGCAGACCGAGTTTTGCAACACGGCGCTGAGCATCGGCAACTCGACTGACAAGACCATCGACAACATGATCCTGGTGACATACTCGATGGGCAACCTCATCGCTGGCGGTGCGGTCGCCAATGATGTGTGCAAGCTCGGCGACGGTGTCACGTGGGTCTCCATCGCGGGTCCGATGCGGGGTAGCAAGGCCGCGAATTTGCTCGAGAAAAAATGCTCAGCCTGCGGCATGGATGGGGCTCTCTTTGGTCTCTGTCCGGTTACCGAGGCGTATCTTCAGATGAAGGCCGAAGACACGGTCGACGCGAGCTTGGAGAAGGCGTTCAAGGACGCACAGACGGCCCGGAAGCGCGCCAACAAGCTCATGTGCGGCATCAATTCATCGGGACTGGCATCGCTGGCCAGCCCGGTGCTCTCTTATATTGGGGCGGAAGCGTTCCCGCCAGGCACGCTCCAGGATGGTGTAGTCGACTTTGACAGTTGCAGCGTGGGCTTCACCGAGTTTGCGACGGACGCGATGACCGGTACCAACTACAAGGCGAGTATCAACCACTTTGATACGTCGTTTCGCAACGGTGACGGCTGGTGGGGCGCCGACCGCAAGCCGCTCAAATGGTTCGAGTGCGCGCTGTAACGTTGTACTAGTATCGTCCAAGACCAGGTAGCTAGCATTTGTTGTCATTAGTGTTCCTGAAGCCTCAGCACGATACTTCATTTTCGATTTCGACTTGCATGCTTGGAGCCCCGATACATTGGGGCGGCATACACATACAAGGCGAGCTTTGGCCGCCGTCGCAAGATTCAAGCGCTTGCTCGCACGCCCTATCATGGTTTGCAGGTATGTATCCTTCGCTAGAGCGCTCAAGGGTCGAATGGTGTACATGGCTCATATCCCAGAACCGGGAGGAGCGACGAATTGCCTACGGGAGCTGAAATCCAAAGCCTGAGGCATCCACAGCTCCGCCTCGAAAAGCTCGCTTTGGCTTTGGCTACCGGTACCTGCGTTACAGAGCACCACCTGGTCTCCAACGTGTACCTTTGTCGGGTGTCCAATTTGTTCTCCCAGATACGTTTGAGCTATTGCTGTTGCCTCGAGCGATCGTGCACGCAACGATGGTCACGTCCAGAAATAGTTTAACGCCGCGACTTTTTTTGTTTCAATGAGTTGCTTGTTCATATACATTACTCTTGGATTTCATGAGGATCGACTTCGCTCTCGCTATGCCGTCACTGGTACGGAACCGCGCAAGCTCCATAGACAGCCGGTGTCAACGTAGGGTTCGTGTGGGGCACCACGTAACGCGCGCACCACGGGTCTTGGAGCAGCCGACGAAGCGACGGACCGAGTTTGGCGACGTGAAGAAGGTGCATGAGGACTATAGTACCCCGCATCTTAACCCGACAATTTTAGTCAAAGTGGACAAATTTGGTCGGAAAATTTACAATACGTAAAATCCTCCCTAGCGTCATTTTGACACCGCAGAGAGCTGAAGAACGCACAAGAGAAGAAAAGAGGGCAAATATATGTCGGTTTTTAAGTCTCTTTAGCCCTAAATTCGGCCTCCATGCGTTCCATGAGGCTCTCCGACGGAATCGAGCGATGAGATTTGTACTTCTTGACTGCGAACTCTGCAAGATGCGGTGGTAGGCCGGCTTCGTACACCTGCATGTACCGATGACAACGACGCTCAAAGCGCTGAACATGCTGTAGAGGGACTTAAGCAAGAGCTGCTGGCACCGTTTCGCGTAGGCTCTTGAACGTGTAGTCGCAGTGTTGGCGGCAGTAGGCCTTGGCGCTTCCCCAATAGTTTTCAATCGGGTTGAACTCGGGATGGAACTTGGGGAGGAGGTCCATCACGTGGTCGGTACCTTCAAATACCTGTTCGAGTATCGACTTCTGGGCCGCAAAGTCGGGTTGATGGTCGACTAAGTTGACAGCACAGCACGAGTACGGCTCTTCCGTTGTACAGGGTGTCTTTCTGCACAGCCCACGCATCGTCTCGGTCGGGCCAAGAATCTCGCGTTCGCGAAGGATCGTGAGAAGGCCCTTGGGCGTTCCGTCCTCGTACTGCATCCGTTGCGAAAAACACTGGCCGCCCGACGTGTAATAACCGGGACGCATGTCCTTTGGGATGTTCTTGCCGCCGTCTTTGAGCGTAATGACCTTCGCGTTGAGGCCGTCTTCCGGTCGCTTCTTGTGGTTCATGCTGGTGGATCAAGGGCGTACTGGTTGACGAGGGGCCGCTGCACAATCGTCTTCCTTGTCTTCGCCACAGTCGCCCTCCTCAACTTCTTCTTCTTCTTGCCTGCTGACGATCCCGTCGACACTTGGTGTGCCAACACAGCCCTGCGCAAGAGCTTGTCGCTTGGCCTTGGACGCCGCTCGGGCGCGGCGCAGGTGCAAGGCACGCTTGGTCGGTCTCGTCATCTGGAACCCACCACGACCACGACCTCGTGGCCCGGGGTATGTTATCCGGATAATAAGGGTGTTGTACGGATAACTATGGTGTGACCCGGTGCACCGGCTCTGGAGGTGGACATTTTCGGGCCCTCCCCACTGTAAATGGTCTGCCTTTGAGCGTTAACATCTCGACAACTAGACACGCTACGGAGGAGATCAGCCTATAGTTTCGTTCCTCATCGTCTTGGCTACAATTTCATAGGTTATTTGGCGTGCAGTTCGGCTTTACAACTCACTTATAATCCATTTAAAAAGGTCATGGATCCTTGTCGGGTTAAGATGCGGGCCGCTGTAGCGTCGCAGCCTTGATGGCCAGCGACTCTGGCGTCGAAGGGTTTAGTGACGCGCATATGACATGATCGTTACGTTCAAGCCAGAGCGTGTACCAGACGCACGAGCTCAGATCAAGATTGGCCAGGGCACGGCAACCGTATGTCCTGGCAGCAGGCTCGTCATATGGGAATCCGACGAGGATTTGCGGAAGACGCATCTATTAACGTTACGTGTATTAGAATCGGCGGCGCAGCGGAGCAAACGACTTCCAAACGGCAGCAAGTACTGGCACTCTACCAGTACGTGTGCGGTGTGCGTAGGACTCCACTTAATGCTGCGTCTGTTGTCGTGCCAGCGTTCGGGCCGGGCCAAACAAGAGAAACTGCCATGGATGGTTTTACTGGAGGGTTGTAGTTCTCATATGCGGCCATGAGGTGTTGCTGTCAGGGTTGCACGCCATCTGCGCTCCACGAGGATGCACCAGTCTCGCAAACCAAACAAAATCTGAGTTCGCCGAGCTACTGCTGAACCACACACTGACACATCTACAAATTATGCACGCTATTCAATTAATCAAGAGCAGACGGTATTCACCAGGTCGATTGTAGATTGTCACGAGCTCGCAAAACCGACGCGAAACTGAACAGGTCAAAACCAAAACAAAAGCTAACGTTACCAGAAGCTCACATTGAGTGCGAAAATCTTGGACTGCCGCGACTGCATGACTGCAAGTGCTTATCAGAGCTCTGCTCATTAAAATAAATTGACCCATTTCAACAACAACAACAACTGCAAGTGCTTTGGGGTCATTATCCATTCGTGAAACGGCCGAATCAGATGTGACTTACGACTTAGAGTGCTTTCACAGGTGCAAACCTCCCACAACCAGCAACTTCACTCGAGTGCTTGCATAACTTTCAGCTTCCTTCAAGAGGTGTTGTCTACTTATTCTGCTCCCTCGACGATTCGTATTCCCTTGAAGCGTCGCGCGTTGTTAACCACGTTCCGGCACCTCGGTCATCACTTTTCATTTCGCCTCCAACATGGCCAACGACACCGTCGCGACGCCGACACATCTCGACGATATGCTCCTCCCGACGCCACCGACGCCCAAGCGCTGGTCGCAACGGGTGCTTGGTGTCATTGCTGTCTGTGGCGTCGTGTGTGCTGCCGTCGGCGCCTACTACGTGTTTGGTCCCCAAGCCCACCAACGACGCTATCAGCATCGTGACGCAGATCCAGCAGTCGCCCGGCCTCAAGGTCGTCGTGAACGCCAAGCGCGCGAGCATGGCGTTCAACGGCCAATTGTCGACGACGGTCTACGTCGTGCCGCGCACGGGGTCGGGCGCGAACCTCAAGTTTGATGCGTTCTTGTCGCAGCCCGGTCGGACGTGACGGCCAACTACATGCTGCTGGACGACCGCGCGTACTGGTCGATCGAGAAGGACGCGGTGATCACGAGCGCCGGGTGCTTGGACGCGGATCAACTGCCTCCCGTGCAACTGGTT